TGAAGTTAGAGGAGACGGATCATCTTTTCCCCCCCAAGAAATATTGTCCAGGTTTTGCATGTTCTTATTGCATCATCAGCTGCTCGGCTTGTCCAAATGGATTTCACGGTTGTTCCTTTTCTTCCAAATATCTTGAGTCCAGCAAGCTGGTAGATTTCAGCCTCTGGCTTCACATGAAACAGTGAAGCCGTATCATGATTGACTGAAAGTGAGTTCCAGATGCAGATTGTGCTTGAAGGGTTAAGGACCTCTGTAGCCATGGCTGGATTTGGGTTTATTTTAACCATGCTTCAGTTTGTAATAATAATAATAATAATAATAATAATAATAATAATAATAATAATAATAATAATAATAATAATAATAAAATAAAAAGTTGGAAGGGACCTTGGAGGTCATCTAGTCCAGCCCCCTGCTCAGGCAGGAAACCCTACACCATTTCCGACAAATGGCTGTCCAGTCTCTTCTTAAAAACTTCCAGTGTTGGAGCATTCACCGCTTCTGGAGGCAGGTGGTTCCACTGGTTAATTGTTCTCACTGTCAGGAAGTTTCTCCTTAGTTCTAGGTTGCTTCTCTCCTTGGTTAGTTTCCATCTGTTGCTTCTTGTCCTGCCTTCAGGTGCTTTGGAGAATAGCTTGACTTCTTTTTCTTTGTAGCAGCCCCTGAGATACTGGAACCCTGCTATCACGTCACCCCTCGTCCTTCTCTTCATTAAACTAGACGTATCCAGGATGACCAAGATCTTTTGCTCTACAGGGTGTAGAATCAGCCTGCGGAAGATCTGAAGAATTCAGGCAAGAAGACATTAATTACTCTGGACTTGATTATTCTTTCCAAATTCTGCAGGAGCAGGGAACATTTATCATGATCACAGTCTCCCAATACTTGAGGGAAAATAAGAGGGGGTCTATCTATTCTCCAAAGCAGCAGAGGACAGGACAAGAGGTAATGGGTGGAAGATCAAGAACAACTAAGGAGAAATTTCCTGACAGTGAAGACGATTAATCAGTAGAATAACTTGCCTCTAGAAGTTGTGGGTGCTCCAACACTGGAAGTTTTTAAGAAAAGTCTGGACAGCCATTTGTTCAGAGTGATAGTGGGTCTCCTGTTTGGGCAAAGAATTAGAGCAGAAGATCTATTCCAACTCTTTTTATTCTATGTTATTCTATATTATTCCTGGATCATGAAGGGATGTGAATTGTCCCCTACAGTACTTATCCTCACATATCCCCCCACGACCCTTTTTAAAAGAAAGGACAAAAAATAATAACAACAAGAAGTGTAGGATGATTGGCAGATTGGTCTTCATCAGGGACATTCTCCAAAAAGTAAGCCAGGCCGGAACAGATTTATAGCTGTACGGGAGACCACAAGGAGATCCCAAGGCCAAAGGCTAAATCCCTCTTAAATGAATACTCAGAAAGTTCCATAGATGTGGCCGGAGTCAAGCCCAGGCCAGGGTTGATTACTCTTTCACTTTATGCACAATTTTTTGTGTAGATGTAGCCTGTAAGGCATCTCAAGAGCATAAAACTCTGCTGGGCCTGTTTTCAAATCTCAAGGAAAACCAAGAACAGGGCATAGGTTGCAAAGCACTTGTGCCTTCTTTTAAAAATCTTTCCTTCTGACTTCCAGACAAGAGCACACACGCACACACCAAGTCTTGAGTCTGAAAGGACCATTCATAAATTACAATGTGTTTTCTGGTTGTTGTAGGTATGCGTATCTAGGCATACTTCTCTGCGTAGGCCAAAGCAGGGAAATTTTCTCTAGCACACAAGAAAGCCAGACAATCCAACAGCTCTGAGTTGCAGCCTGCCTCTCTGGGGAATGAACAATGCCCTAGCAGAAAGCCAGCTCATAAAGGACTGTCAGCTTCTCATGTCTCCTTTAAGCAAAAGCATTTAATGAATTTCTCATGACCCACCCACTTTTTTTCTCTCTGCACTTCTGTGTCCCAAAGATGCTTTCCCACAAGGCAACTGGACTTTCTTGTTTTTCCTTTGAAGACGTTTCACTTCTCATCCAAGAAGCTTCTTCAGCTCTGATTGGATGGTGGGGAATGGAAGGATTTATGCTCCTTGCATTCTTTTAGAGAGTCGTTGAGGCCACTTGGAGATTTATCTGGGTCCTGAAGGCCTCCTGAGTGGTGCAAATGGGTTGTGGAGCCTTCTTGGAACTATTGAAAAGATTGACATGTAGACTTGAGATAGATCATGTTGTATCCCTCCCCCTCTACTGAGAGAGAGAGCTGTTTAATTTTGACCTAGATGGCCTCTTTGACCCCTCTTTCAAACCAACGGTCCTCTCTGTCCAAAATGTGGACTTTGCTATCTTCAAAAGAGCGGCCTTTGTCTTTTAAATCAGGTTCCCCAAACCCTGGTCTGTGGACCAGTTACAGGCTGCGGCATGCCATCAACCGGTCCACACAAACAAGGAAAGCTCCATCCACGAGATGCAGGCAGCACACAAAACCACACACTCTCTGGTCTGTGGAAAAACCTCTCTCCACGGAACCAGTCCCTGGTGCCCAAAAGATTGGGGGCCTCTGTTTTTAATGCTGATGGACTGCTGACTCTGGTCCTGATGGGTTTGTTCTCCTATGTTGTGCCATACAATTATGAAGTTGTTTCGTTTCCCCAATGTACAGAACTGCACATGGCTCACTGCACTTCTGTGATCGCCATAATTGTAGGCAGTCATTCCGTATAGTTTGAGTTCTGCTGCTTCTACAGGACTGTGAAAGCTACACGTTTCAGGGCTCCGTTTTATTGTTAAATTCAGCCATAGCATTGAGTTTTCTCAATTGTCCACTCCCCTTCATGTGTCCTTACACCCAATGCTCAGCTCCTAAGTTCCTCATGGTTGTGAAGTTATCTTTACAAAGGGTCCAGGTTCTCCCAGATGAAGATACATGACACATCAAGATATTGGACAATGAAGTCATAAACCCCCAGATAGGATGTGGCTGTGTCTTTGCATCAAAGCAGTGATGTCCCAGCAGCAGTTTTTTAAGTGGTTCAATATCATAGCCATCAATTGGGTGCTCACCCACTCTCTCTCTCTCTCTCCTCCTCTCTCTCTTTCTCTCTCTCTCTCTCAAATAAAGGTTAAAACATTGCATTTTGACCTCAGTAAAATACAAAAAAAGAGATTGAAAATGTTGGCTGTACCAACATGTTACTGAACATAGCTTTCCTGCACCACTCAGAGGATCTAAAGCTTTCATTATATATATTTAAAAATTAATGAATTAATTACTATGAATTAATAATGCCCATTCTAGCTGACCAAAGCTGCCTGCCTTTTTGTTCAGGAGAACAGAGGTTTAAAGAGATGTTAAAATGAGAGAGCCCACAGTTGTTACTGTTGGAGAGAATCACTGTTATAAAATTGACTGGACTGTCTAGAACACCTGGGTCTAGAACAACCGCTGTAGCATTTAAGCAATGGCAGAAAGATATAAAGTCCTCCAAGATGCAACAGGATAAGGAAGATTGGGAGTTGGGCCATACCTTATGCCAATGCAGAATCTTCAGAAAAAGCCCTGGTTAACACTCCTAAATTAATTTGACTCTGAAGGGTTTGGCTCCAGAACTGGCTTTGAAACACCCAGATGGCATTTCTGTGATCCAAGCCCTATTCCTTCTAAATTTCTCCTGCAACACACATAAAAAGAGACGAGACTTTGCTTGCAGAATTCCAGCCCCATCTGGACTTTTTCTGGGGACACTCCTCAAGGATATCCCCATAATTTTCTTTAACTGCCAAGAACAGGTTGGGGTTAAGACTCCGACTCCATGCTGCAATAGATAGACACTCTCTGAGCTGCAACCATCCCGACATCCACCAGAGGGCAGCATCAGGTACCATGATGGGCATATTTTGGCTGCCCTCTAGTGGCCATCGGATGGTTGCAGCTCTACACAGTTTCCACACTCTTCCTAGAGGAAATGCATGCATCTAATAAACGGCTGCTGGGCTCCTTCTGCTCTCTTTTAGAGCAGTGAGCTGAGAGCCGCTTATCCTAGACCAGATTGCTCCATCAATCTTTGGAACTGCAGGCAAATGGTTTTCTTGTGAGGGGCCCTTGGGTGCTCTCTGAGCTTGCTTGTCTTCTTTCAGACGTTTCATGACCCAGACTAGGTAACATCATTACTGTTAGAAGAGAGTGGGGTTTGTGGAATGATGGAAGAGGAAGACTGTGCGGTCCTTGATGCTCTCTGAGCTTGCTTGTTTTCTTGCAGAAGTTTCATTACCCAACTAGGTAACATCATCAGTGCTACAAGGGAGTGGGGTTTATGGAATGATGGAGGAGGAGGACTGTGGGTTCCTTGATGCTCTCTGAGCTTGCTTGTTTTCTTGCAGACGTCTATGGAGATTCTCAGTCATCCAGCTCATAGTTATCCCAAAGATGCTTTTTCATTAGCTAAAAGAAGGCAAACGACCAGCTGTCTGCAGGAGTATAAATCCTTCCATTCTCCACCATCCAATCAGAGTTGAAGAAGCTTCTTGGATGAGAAGCGAAACGTCTTCAAAGAAAAAGAAGAAAGCCTAGTTGCCTCCTGAAAGAAGCACCTTTGGGTTTTCCTGCAGACGTTTCATGACCCAAACTAGCTAACATAATCAGGGCTAGCAAACTAACTCAGGGAGCGCCAAGCACCCCAACACAGACAGACAGACAGACACACACAAACACACACACACACACACACGCCACACACACACACACACACGCCAACCTTGAGCTACGAATATTCTCCTTTATTGATTTTTTTTCTTGTGTCACTCTAACCTGTCCTAGATCTATGGTCCCGTACTCGTGAGTCTACGGTCCGTCGCTCTCCTTTCACGGACTCCTTTCGTCGGGAAGCCCTCCGCGGCCTCAGATATCTACGTCATCCACGCTGCTTGCTGAGAGTTGTAGTCCGTTGCCGGAAGCGCCCTCTCTTTCTGGCTGAGGAGGGGCGGGGCCGGAACTACACTTCCCGAGATGCTCCGGGGACACCTCCAGGCCGGAAGGAGACGGGAAGCAGCCGGCGGCCTGCCATGGAGGGCCCGCGCGGCTCCCCTCTACGCCCGGATCCAGATTAGGCGGCGGCGGCGGCGGTGGTGGAGACCCTCCCAGCGGCCTGATGGACGAGAGCAGAGTGAGCGGGGTTCGAGGGGCTGCCGGGTGGGAGGAGTGGAGTGGGGGGGGGGGGCTTCCGAAGTTTTGCCGCCTTCTTCCGGGTTGCTTTGGACCTGGGATTTCTTAGTGGTCTCCCATCCGAATCGTCTCCGGGCGCTCCTTGCCTCGGTTTTGACCGGCTTTGGGCCTTCGCCGGGCAAAGGGATTTAGGACATCAAGTTTTCCCAAATAAAGAAGCAAAGGGAAGGGCCAGCTGGCCGCCTCCTCTCCGTCAGCAGCCCGGGGATTTCTTGGTGGTGCCTCGTCCACGGATTAAAAGGGCGGGAACAGCTGACGGGCTCTTCTCCAACCAGCCCTGGGGACTTTTCGCCCGGAAGGAAGGAGCGACTGTGTGTGCTAAGCAGAAGCCTTTGGGCCTTTCTTCTGCCATTCTCCGCCCCCCCCCCCCGGATCTGCAGGGAGGAATCCGTTCCCTGCTTTTAAAATGGATAAATATTCCCTCCAGACGAGTCAGGAGATAGTCAGGATCTTCAACGTTTCAAACAACAGAGGCAGATTTTTTTTTTTTTTTTTTAAATTAGGGTCTTGGTTTAGACCAGTGTTTTTCAATCTCAGGGACTCAATCTCAGTCCCTTCCAACATCAACATCATCACTATTTTGATCATGGAAAAAGTCAGCCAGATGTTCAGACTGGATTTGGCATTTTGTCTACCTAACGAGTCCTTACCCAGGACCTGGGATAGGCAGATGTGGATGTTGGATGGTATTATAGATATCGTCGCAGGATGGAAGCAGTTCCTAGTAAGGCTGCCTTTTGCAATTGACTATGCCGATGATGGTGTTCAAGTGGTGCTCCAGTTGTTTTGGGATTGCACCCAAGGCGCTTACTACTACTATTACTACTACTACTACTATTATTATTATTAATAATCATCGCACAGTCAGCCAGATGTTCAGACTGGATTTGGCATTTTTGTCTACCTATCGAGTCCTTCCCAAGGACCTAGGATAGGCAGATGTGGATGTTTGATGGTATTACAGATATCGTTGCAGGATGGAAGATGATGATGATCTCGGCAACTTCCTCAGTCGGCTAGGGAATTCCGGGAATCCAAGTCGACATAATGTTGCTGAGATTGAGAAAGGCTGGTCTAGATTAAATTGGAATAAAAGGTTCATGTTTCCCGCAAGGTTGGCTTGTCGCTGGACTTCTCAAATCTGTCTCCCTCCCAGTTGGTTTCTAATGCCCAGTTTGTTTGTTTGTTTCATAGCAGTCGTTCCAGAGAACCTGTCTGTGGACTTCCTGACAGATTTTGTTACCTTTTTTTTTTCTTCCAGGTAGCTGGTGGAAAAGTGAAGAAACCGGGCAAACGGGGCCGTAAGCCAGCTAAAATAGATTTGAAAGCCAAACTCGAGAGAAGCCGGCAGAGCGCAAGGGAATGCCGAGCGAGGAAGAAACTGAGGTATCAATATCTGGAAGAGCTGGTTTCAAGCCGCGAAAGAGCCATTTGTGCTCTTAGAGAAGAACTGGAAATGGTAATCGCCTCTTCCTTTTTCCTTTTCCCTTTCCCAGAAGTTTTTTTTTAAAGTTCCTGAGTTTTCTCGCTGAGGTGCAATTGGTCGCCACGGAGTTTGATTCCTAGTTAATGTTGGGGTAGTTCAAATTCCTCATTCTTCTTGCATCGCTTGGCACTTGGTTACCCACAACCCAGTTGACTTCCCTAAACAGAGATTCTACCAGGTGTTACACTAGCAAACTTTCTCTGCTTCCCATGCAGTGTGATCATAGGCAACAACACACACAGTTGTAGAGGTCTAGATGGACTCCTAGCATTTTGGACTCAAGGGTCAGGCAGCTGGAGCCACTAATAGCCTGGGGGGAAGAGGCATCAGCCCGGCCTTCTTGTTCCCTGGGCCCGGACCTGGGCAGCTCCACTTGCGGTGCATCCGGTGGGTCCCGTGGCCAGCGCTTCCAACAGTTGTTGTTGTTGGGACATCTTGAAAATGGGAAGCTGCTGAAACCCATTTTTGTCTCCAAGGCTTTCATGGCTGAGGAAGCCTGCTCAAGGAAGAACACGTGAGAACTAGGGCAGAAGTTTTAGTTTGTTGTTACTCTGCATGTTTACTGTGTGAATGGCCATGAGGACAGTTTCTCAAAAAGCTGAATGGGGCTTCTTGAAAATTAAAGATAAATGAAAGCCGTGATTTGCCGATTGTGTTGGCTTTGACCTTTAAAGGTCCTGGATGACAGTAGCTGATATTCCGTGTCAGAAAAAAGCAGAATGCGGCGTCAGGCAGGCACTGTGCAGATCTTCATACATTTTTACATAGGTGCTTGTTCAACATTTACACTCTCGCATCTGTTGCCTTGTTCCTGCTGCTTGCTTCAAAGAAGAGCACATAACTTTGCAGGATGTGGAGTCCTTGGTGGAGTCTTGCTCTGATAGCTCATGAAGTGGTGCAGAATGCCGAAACCTGGATTTACAATTTATTCCAAGCTTATAACAAAGGATCAATAAATGCCTTCTATGATCCTGGGAACCTCAAAATTCTAAAGCAGGGGTCCCCAACCTCCAGTCCGTGGACCAGTACCGGTCCGTGGCATGCCAGCAACTGGGCCGCACGAAGAAGCAAAGCCCCATCCGTGGGATGCAGGCAGCACACAAAACCACACACCCTCTGGTCCACGGAAAAACCTCTCTCCACGGAACCGGTCCCTGGTGCCCAAAAGGTTGGGGGCCTCTGATCCAGACCACAGTAAGGAATGGGGGGGGGGGGAAGAAGGAAGCCAGAGTTTCTCTAACTCAGGGGTCCCCAACCCCCCCCCCCGGTTTGTAACTCACTACCGGGCTGTGGCTTGTTCAGAACCGGGCTGCAGAAGCGATGGAGTGCGCACGCACACAGTTCCCCCTGCACAAGCAGCGGGCCAGTGCATGCGTGTGTGCAATTCCATTTGTGCGAGTGGCAGACGCATGTGCCAACCGCTCGCGCAAATGGAGGTGTGCGCACACACAAGTGGTAGCCATTCCTTCTCCCTCCTCCCTTGCAGGTCCACCAAGCCCAGCGGTTCTCAACCTGTGGGTCGGGACCCCATTTGGGTCGAACGACCATTTCACGGGAGGTCGCCAAACAACGCAATCTGCCATTTTCCCCCCCTTTTCCTTAGCTGTGCTACTCCCTTTTATTCTATTGGCTTTTGAAAGCCAATAGAATAGACTCTCTTGAATAGAGTCTAATTCTATTGGCTTTCAAAAGCCAATAGGAATTGTCCAGGCTGTCTCTGCCCTGCTTAGCCCGCCAAAAGTCCCATTCTGCAAACGGTGCTGCACCAGTTGAGTAGTCCTCGACTTACGACCGGTTGAGTAGTCCTCGACTTACGACCGGTTGGGGGTCATGGCATTAAAAAGGTTGAGAACCACTGACCAAGCCAGAAAGGGTCGAGGATGGCTGTTCTAAAACCTCGGCATACGACTGAATGTTTGTTTTGTGCCACGTCTTTCTCTTCCAGTACAAGCAGTGGTGCCTGGCGATGGATCAGGGCAAAATCCCCTCTGAGATTAAAGCGCTCTTGAGCGGAGAAGAGCAAAGCAGGCCTCAGCAGAATGTAGGCAAGATGGCCAAGGCCCTAAAGAGCGATGCCAACAGCCACGGTTCCTGTAAGTTCCACTTTACGCAATTCTTCACTTCGTTACGGCCCTGGACAGAGGCGGGCGGGGGGCCAAAAAGAAAAAGAAGAAAAACTTGTCGCAATCTGGTTCCTCGGAGACGCTTGACCTGTGGCTGCCATCCAGCTGTGGTCAAAGGAGAAAGGCTGATTGGATCAGTGGTCTGGCTATGTTGAAGCTCTTCCCAGACCTTCTTGGTGGTCTTGAGTACCAGTAGACCTTTCTACTCATCATCCAGCCCCCCCTCCAAAAGATACTTATGACCCAGTTCTGGAATTCGGGGACTCTCCACGCCCCCACAGTCACATATTTTGAGTGCTTGGCTGCTGGCTCCCTTTTTTACAGCTGGTTGCAGCTTTCTCCAGGCACGTGGCCACGATCTAGGACAGCTTTTGCTGGTTTCCAGCCTTTTTGAACGAGTTCCAGAAGAAGAAAAAAAAAACACCCATAAGAATTGGCACGCTTTACGACCACCGTGTTTGCTTTATGTTGGCTGTAAAAAAAGGCTGCCTGCTTCGGCTTCCTTATGACTCCCCTATGTCCCAGTGGTTCCATTATGGTCCAAAGTTGAGGACTTTTGGAAATGGGAAACGTTGCTGTTGCTATCGGTGTTTCTCTTTGCCATGGGTGCCACAATAGCCGGCACTGCAACCTAAGTTCCTTGGGCCAAGATCCGTGTTTTTCAACCCTGGCCACTTTTAAGGTGGGTGGGATTGTGGAGCTGAAGTTCACACCTCTTCAAAGTGGCCGAGAACAACAAGCTATTTTCTGTTTTAGTTCTTGCACGTCTGGAATGGGGTCAGTTGGGCTGAGGATGTGCCAAAGCCAGACCCCCCCCCCCCTTTGGGTGGCACCTTGCCAGGCCTGCTGCTCCGTGCAGAGTTCCTCTTCTTGAAACTTACCCTCCCATTTGGGTTTCTGGTGTTTCTGGATCTGCTCTGGCCATAGCGATCCCATTTTTTCCAGGTGGGCTGAGAGAGGCAGATCCCGTTTCTATATGGGTAGACCGCAGTTGAGCTTAAAAATCTCCTTTACAAAGCAACACGATTCTTAAGTGAGGTTTTTATGACTTTTACTCGCAGTTGTTAAGTGAACCACTGCAGTTGTCCAGTTAGTAACACCCTTGTTAATTGAGTCTGTCTTCCCCATTGGCTTTTTCTGTCAGAAGGTCACAAAAAGAGACCCTGGGAAGCTGCGACCGTCGTAAGGACAGGCCTATGGAGATTCTCTGTCACCCAGATCACAGCTGTCTCAGACCTTTTTTTTTCCCAAAGGGCAATTGGACTATTTTTTCTACTTTTTTCTTGTTCTGACAAGATGGACACAAATAAACCTGCCTGTGGCCTCAAGGGCTCTCAGGGAGAGTACGAATAGCCAGGTGACTGCAAAGAAATGCAATCTTTCCAACCTTCCCCCCCCCCCCCAAAAAAAACCCCTGTCAGAACTAACCCTTTCATCGCCCCCACCATCCTGCCAGAACCGATGGAGCTTCTTAGATGATAAGTGAAATGTCTTCCTCAAGGAGAAAAAAAAACCCAGTCTAGCTGCCTTTTGAAAAAGCACTTTTGATACAAGCCAGTCGCCAAGTATTCTGGATTTTGATCATGTGACCATAGAGATGCTATATCGGTCATAAGTGTAACAAAACATAAGTCCCCTTTTTGTGTGTGCCGTTGTAACTTCAGACGGTCACTGACAAGTGATTGTAAGTTGGGGACCACCTGCTGGGCTCTCAAAACAGATCTTTCCCCCACCTGCCCTGATTACCTGGGGGCAATCTGCATGTTCCTTGTTCCAAGCTTTTCACACGATGGTTGTAGATCTCCTGCTAGACTATTGAACAAATCCAGCTTGGGTCCTGGGGAGTTTGTGGATATGTCCAGGCCGTTTTCTTGACAGCGATACTGCGCACGGAAATTATCTCTCTTTGCCAAGGTTTTTTTTTTTTTGAGTTCTCAATCACGGCACCAGCCTTGGAACCTTAAGCAATACCCATCGATATTTTGTAAAAGTTGCGTGTAGCCCTGCTGGAATAAAGCTGCATGCATTTGTCCGTAAGACAGTGTTTCTCAACCTTGACCATTTTAAGGCATGTGGACTTCAACTCCCAGAATTCCACAGCCAGCAATGGGAGTTGAAGTCCACATGCCTTAAAATGGTCAAGGTTGAGAAACACTGCCGTAAGAGGTCATATTATTTGGAAGAGTGCAATGCAGCTTACTCGTTTTAATCCTTAAACATAGAACAGGGGAGATACAGGGAGACCCTCTCTGGCCTTTGCCCTTGCCCAGAAGTCCGAGGCCCTGAGCTTTGCTCGCCGCCAGGCACCCCAGGAGCAACATCCCTGATGCTGCTTCCTTCTAATGTCACCTTCAGCTGGATCTGCACCTGGGGTGGGCCCTGAACAAAAACTGACGTGCCACCAAGTTTATGCTGTGCTCCATCTCTTGCCTCTTCCTTCCAGCCCACGTGGGGATTCTTGGGCAAGGATTGTACCTATTTTAGTTGGCCATAAATCAATAAAAAACAACCCTGCTTGCAGAATTGGGGGTTGACCACATGAAACTCTAACATAAAACTCGTTTTTTTTCCTTGTAGGGTGAAGGTCAGACCAAGCAGCGTGAAGCCCATATTTCAAAAAAACAAGATGATCTGTTGTTTTTTTAAAAAAAAAATCAGTAATCTATGGACTTCATGTGAAGTTGAGTATCCTTGGTCCTATCAACAGTTCAACGGCGTCAACAATTCAGCCGCACCGTAGTTGGAGTTTGAGCTGACTTTCAGAATGACCCGAACAGCAAGAGGGCAGAAGTAAATCATCTTAATCCGTTTTTATTTAATAAAACAATATTCCTGTGTCTGCGGGAATATCTGACCGAAGCCAAGAAAGAAAGGCCCAAGATTATACCTGCCTCGAGTCTATTCCAAAATGTATTAGATGCTCTGGGGTTGTTTTTGTGGGTAGAACTGGCTGAGAAAAAGGGGAAGGCCTTTCCCCCCCCCCCCCAGGGATTGGGCCACCAAACTCCCCTTTGTTGTGTTAAGGCCTATAATTATGCTTTCGATTTTGTTTTCATCATTAACTATATTTAGTGTTTATTTAAGGAAAATACTATACAGATAGAAAAGTAGAGTTTATTATTCATGGGATGGTCTGTTTTGCATTAGAGAGAGGTAGAGATATAGTGGAGTGTTTTTCAAACTGGGCCATTTTAAGATCCTTGGACTTCAACTCCCAGAATTCCCCAACCAGCACGGCCATTGATGTGGATTCTGGTAGTTGAAGTCCACAGACCTTAAGTGGTCAAGGTTGAAAAATACTGATGTAACGCATGCTGATATATCTTGCTGTAGGTGTCCAGTATGTCACCTTCCCCTTTTCCTCCTTCTGTTGTTTCTGAATTAGTGAAGTTTAGGTTCTACTTGTGAATTGTGAAATCCTTGACTCCCAGGTCATCTCAGTTTTAAGATTATGTTCTTTAAGAGAGGGTGCTCTACCTGCAGTTTGGTTTAGATCAGGAGTCTTCAAACCTGGCCCTTTTATGACTTGTGGACTTCAAGTCCCAGAATTCCTCAGCCAGGCACGCCCACTGTGGATCGAGTTGACTATTTGAATTAAGTTCAGTACTAAATTCAAGACTTCCTCACTAGATAATCATATGAGCAGCAGTGAAATAACTCTTCAGTGTCGTGGTTCGTTTATATTTTCTAAACCTGCATGATTGCATCTTTGCTTAGACTGCTTATTAATAGGAGTGATGAGTCAAAATCATTGTAGTCTCTTTCTCTCTCTTTGCTCTCTCTCTCTCTCTCTCTCTGTGTGTGTCTCTCTCTCTGTCTTTTTTTGCTCAATGCAGTCATGGAGAGGTTTAATAAGGAACATACCCCACCTAGCTGGCTAGAGAAAGAGGGGAACAGAAGTAGCTTGCCCATTTCCTCCACCTTGCCTTCTCTCCTGGTTACAGACCACATTGTCTACTTTTGACATGAAAGGGTAGGAAGGACCTGAGAATTTGTGGAGAAAGGCTAGCAAATGGATGTAGCATCCAGGATGCTTCATACTTTCCGTTCCACGGGAACGGTGTACCTGTAGTGTTGAGTGTTTGGAAAGGGAATAAAATTGGAAACTTACAGCCTAACACTGTGTGCATTTTTGTTGCAGGGGATAAAATACTTACCTTATTGTGAGACTCTTTGGTATTAAAGTGGATGTAATAAAGCCTTTGCTGTCCTTTATTAAAAGGGTTACTGACAGAGGGCAGGGTTGAAAGAAGAACGTCACCATCATGCCAGGAACGCCCAGACCCAATAGCGCAGAAAATAACATGAACCTACTTAGTTTTGTATGTATTAAAACAAAACTTCTGTTTTAATGAAGGTTTAATGAAGATTGTGATTTCTAGCGATCGTATGGCGTGTGGGTAAAATGTGCAACTTTCTTCCTTCTATGGCGCCAAGCCACCGAGCTCTTAAAAGGAATTAAACAATAAATTGCAGTATTTGCAAAACCTTAAAGAAGCAGTGAATTCTTCCTTGCAAACCTGTTTTGGAGTCCAAGGCCCTGGTACGCTGGCCTTAGCTTGCAAAGGCAGGCTTTAATCCTCTCGATCCCAGGGTTTCTCAGCCTTAGCCACTTTAAGGTATGTGGACTTCAACTCCCAGAAAACCCCAGCCACCACATTTTGCTGGCTGAGGCTTTCTGGGAGTTGAAGTCCACACACCTTAAAATTGCTGAGGTTGAAAAACAGTGCTCTAACACGGAGGCTCCCAACCTTTTGGGCACCAGGGACCGGTTCCGTGGAAAGAGGTTTTTCCGTGGACTGGAGAGTGTGTGGTTTTGTGTGCTGTCTGCATCCCACGGATGGGGCTTTGCTTGTTTGTGTGGACCGGTTACCGGCATGCTGCTGCCCGGTACCGGTCTACAGACCGGAGGTTGGGGACCCCTGCTCTAGCATTTCCAGAAGGTCTGAGAGAGATTTCTCTCTTTTGCTGTTCTTCGGGGCCTCTGGAGTAGGCAAGTGGGGCTGACGGTTACAGAAAAGGAGAAGACTGAAGACTCGCTCGTTTTTAACCTAAGCCAGCCTACAGCACCGAGAACATAAAGGGTGGACCTTCATCAGCTGTTGTAGGGTCATTTGTTGTGGACCTAACAGCAATGGGCTCTTTCGGAGCCTTCCTCTGCCTTGGCCAGTGGTTCTCCACCTGTGGGTCGGGACCCCATTTGGGATCGAACGACCAATTTCACGGGGGTCGCCAAACAACGCAGTCCGCCATTTTTTCACCCCTTTTCCTTAGCTGTGCTACTCCCTTTTATTCTATTGGCTTTTGAAAGCCAATAGAATAGACTGTCTTGAATAGAGTCTAATTCTATTGGCTTTCAAAAGCCAATAGGAATTGTCCAGGCTGTCTCTGCCCTGCTGAGCCTGCCAAAAGTCCCATTCTGCAAACGGTGCTGCACCAGTTGAGTAGTCCTCGACTTATGACTGGTTGGGGGGTCGCGGCATTAAAAAGGTTGAGAACCACTGGCCTAGGCGACCTGGGTCATAACAGGACAGGATAAAATGATTCTCTTCTTCATTGAGATTTAATGTCTACCGATCCAGCAACCAGATCCTTATTGGTATGCCTCTCGCAATGCTTTACCAGGGGAAGATTTCTGAAACTAGGGACTGTTGGAACACATAAACCCAGTTTCCAGGTGTGGAAAAAGCAGCGATCCATCGCAAACTTCCTCTTGGATTCGTTCCTTCCTTTCTACATAACGGCCTGATCTACACTCATTGGTCAGTCAGGTTTGGCTCAACAAGTTCAAACGCAGAGAGCAAGAATGAATTGTCGCTGCCTGACGGGGAACGATTATTCTAAAGAAGTGTGCAGCTTTAAAACAACGCAATGTCGGATATAAAAGAAGCAGATTCAATAAAAACAGACATTTATTCTCCCTGCTCCATTATATGGAGATCCTTTGTGTCAACGGCATCTGTTCAAAGGAGTGGTAGCGTTCGCCTCTTTGTTTAGGCGGAAGAGCCTTCGAAAGGACTGCCGTTAATTACACAAATGTGTTTGGTGGGTTTGAATTAATAGGCCAGGCAAGTTTTTTCTCTTTCGCGTCTCTGTTGAAAGAATCATACATGGTGTCTTTGCAAACCGTTTTTGGTGCGCTGGGGAATTCTGAGATCCCCACGTAATTTTTCTTGGCCATCTTGGAGCTGGTTGTGATGGTGTAGGCGTTACTCCGGTAACATTTCATGGCGGACATACAGAAAGTCTCTCTTACCCCCCTTCTGAAGTTGGCATTATACGCCGAGTACAACATGGGCTTCAAGGCCGAGGAACTAAATGATATCCAGGTCGCCATCAAAAAAACCAACGCGCTTTTCCTACGATCGGTCTCGGACGGGTGCCAAAGTTGAACCGCGTAAAAGGGGAGCCACGAGAGGAGAAAGAGGGCATTTAACATCAGGAACATTTTGATGGTTTTCACCTTGGTCCGAGGGACCACGTTCATCGTCCTCCGGACCGTTCTGCCCTCGCTCCCGATCTTCCAAATGTGCTTGATGATTTTTTGGTAAAAGACAATGATGAGGACCGATGGAATCAGGAAAGCTACTACTACGTGAATGACACTATAAACAGCCCCCACCCAAGAATGGGGAGGGAAAAAACGGCAGTGACGGTCCCTGTCCAAGCCCCCCAAAATGAACACTGGAGACATCAAGGCCGCACTGAAGATCCAAGAAGCCGCAATCATTTTCTTGGCTTTTTCCCTCGTCACCTTGAAACTCAGCGGGTAGACAATAGTGTAGAATCTGTCGATGCAGATGGAAAGCAGGACGTAAATTTGGACCCCAGGGGTGACATATTGAAAATACCTGATGGTCTTGCACATCACGCTCCCGTAGGTCCATCCATCGGAGGCCAACTGGAGCAGCACGAGCGGCGTGCACCCAATACTGATCAGCAAATCTGCACAGGCCATGGAGACCACGAAGTAATTGGTGGTGGACTGAGTCCTCCTGCTCCTGTAGATGACCAGGCAAACCAGGGAGTTTCCGAAGACGGAGAAGAACCATAACACCCCCCAAAGCAAGCCGACAAGGATAATTTCTCCAGGCATCAACTCGTATTGTGAAGCTGAACTGTTTTTCTCCAAGCCCGGTTCATTGGACAAGGTGGTGGCCTCGTGGCTTCCCAAAGGACTTGAGGTTTCTGCCTGAGGGTGGCTTTGTTGCAGGAGGCCTGACCTTGGGGTGAGGAGAGGAGTAGTGTGCTGATCCATGTCTTGGGACAGCAGCATACTCAGTCTTTCCCCGAGAGGACTGTGTGGAGAGAAAGGCCCATCAGTTGTTTCAGGAGTAAAGGAATAGCAGCAATCATCACTTTGTCTTCACGACAGAATGAGAGTTGGGAGGAGCCTTGGAGGTCTTCTAGTCCAGGGGTCCTCAACCTTGGCAACTTTAAGACTTTGCTGGCTGAGGAATTCTGGGAGTTGAAGTCCACAAGTCTTAAACTTGCCAAGGTTGAGGACCCCTGTTCTAGTCCAACCCACCACTCAAGCAGGAGACCCTCTACAGTTCCAGACAAATAGCTTTCCGACCCCTCCTTACAACCTCCGGTGATGAAGCACCCACAACTTCTGGAGGCAAGCAGTTCCACTGGTTAATTGTCCTCTCTATCAGGAGAGGGGCTGCTAACTTCTATTGTAATCAGAATTGAATACACTTTACATCAGGGGTCTTCAAACTCGGCCCTTTTATGACTCATGGACAACTCCCAGATTTCCTCAGTCAGGCACGCTGGCTGAGGAATTCTGGGAGTTGTAGTCCATGAGTCATAAAAGGGCCGAGTTTGAAGACCCCTGCTTTCCATAGTGATTCCTCAAAATTGTGTAATTCCGGTTAGCAATATTTTATCTCCTTTTTAGGGATGGAGATAAATCTCCTTTCTTTAGAACAATACCATTCTTATCAGCCTTCTTATACTGCTGATTGGATTTAACTGAATGTCTCTTTGGTTATTAGGTATGTCTTCAATACATTGATTTAGGGATATGAATCCTGATTCCTAGCACTAGGCTTTATTTTCAGTTAATAGGATGTGAATTGTTAAGAGGAAAGCTTAATTAGCTTCCTTAAAAGCATTTCTTTGGCACAAAGAATTGGTTTCTTTTGTTAATTTCTGAAAGGGCTTCACGACTGCCTTTTGTGAGGAGACATTCGAACTAAGTCCCAGCATGTGTCATGTAATAAGGACCTAAAAATGCACGATTCAGTCCTAACATAAACGGACAGACAGCAGAACAAGACATTTTGTCCCAACAAGACATTTTGTCCCAAGCTATTTCTTGCAGACGTTTCATTACCCAACTAGGTAACGTCATCAGAGAGCATCAAGGATGCCATAGATACCAAGTTAATGCTTTTTCTTCTGTGAATTATCCTCTGCTCTGGATGTGGAGGCTTTGTTTTGCTTCTGTGAACTACCATCAAGGCAGCTGCAGCTCCATTCTGGATCAGACCCAAGTCCCATTCCTGCACACAAGACCAGTCAGGGCGCAGCAAGGAAGCCCTGACTGGGATATTGGCAAACTATATCTTCTCCCTCGTGCATTAACCACTGACTGTCTTTCCCTTCCTTAATTTCCTTCCGAGTTCCTCTTAAAAATCAACTAACCCAATTAAAGCCTTATGGCTGCATACTCCATATATTAAATATGTATAGTATCAAGAATTTTTCACTGGGTATTTTCCAGGCATTGAGTCTCTATAAAGGCATTTGCTTTAATTGCATTGTTTTCCCCAAACACATTGCGAATCTTTTTTTTTTAGTTAGTGATGTACTAAATACCAGCCTTAAAACAAAGTCTCAGCATATGTATACGCCTCCTTGAATCAAATCAGTCATATCATATCATATCAGATCAAATCAGACTAATAAAGAAGTTATACTATTTAATAGGGTCATTTTGGATTGTAAGATGGGCAGCATATTAAATAAATAAATACATTTGATTCTATGAAATTTAAATGGAAAAGGAATTAAATTGGATCGAAATATTCCCATGTCTACAATACTTAGGTGTACAAACATTCTAATATTTGAGGGGCTGCCACAAAGAAGGGGGGGGGGTCAAACTTTTCTCCAAAGCACCTGAAGGCAGGACGAGAAGCAACGGATGGATCAAGGAGAGAAGCAACCTGGAACTAAGGAGAAATTTCCAGACAGTTAGAACAATTAACCAGTGGAACAACCTGCCTCCAGAAGTTGCGAATGCTCCAGCACTGCAAGTTTTTAAGAAGAGACTGGACAGCCATTTGTCTGAAATGGTATAGGGTTTCCTGCCTGAGCAGGGGGTTGGGCTAGATGACCTCCAAGGTCCCTTCCAACTCTGTTATTCTATTCTATCATCCACTGTCTTTCATGGTTTGTGGCTTTCTTTCATTTTGTCTCAATTCAATGTGCATATTCCTCAGTTATTTCTCTTTCTGCTTTTACATTTAGGAATAATTGTCTGTTGAGTGTTCAGTCCTGGAGATCGCCATGCCATCATGTTCAGTGGTAGGCAGTCACAGTACTGAATATCGGCATGAATCCAGACTATTGGTCCATTGACGTCAATATTGTGTTTCTTGACTAGTGTCCACCCTCTTGCACAAATCTCCTTTCCAGACTTGCCACAAGAAATACTTGATGTGCCAGTTTTGATCCTGTAGTTGCAAACTGCACACCCACAAACCTAGACAGAGCCTCACCATCTACATAATGCAGAAAGAACCTGGTTCACTGGCTGTTCTAATGAGAAGAATAACTGGTAGCTAAAAGGATGTGAGATGGCTGAACCGATTTCATTTTTTATTTAAATGTCTACCATCGATCCTGTAGCCACACTAGCAAGGTCCAAAGAAAAAGAACATTAAAATTAAATTTTGAACGGTTTCCCCTGATCCAATCACCCACTTCCCAAGAGGAAGAACGCAGAGTGACTCCCCTACCTGTTTCCAAGCATAATCCCAAACTCAGCCAAGTTCCCCATGGAGAATGTTGGTGGCAAGGGCCCATTTCATTTTGGAGACCAGTTCCAATAATTCACCGTTGCGCTGCATCTGGATGTCGGCCCACCGGGGGTTAAACGAAAGTCAAACATGTTGCACTTCCTTCTCGCCCTGGAAAAAGAAATAAGAGATTTTGGTTAGAACGCGGTGCTGACACCCCTTGCAAACTCCTAAAGCGGATCACATGGGAAATGAGTCACGTGGCTCCTTCCCCAAGAGCTAAATTAAGGAAGGAAGGAAGGAAAGGAAGGAAGGAAGGAAAAGAAAGAAGGAAGGAAGGAAGGAAGGAAAATCTTGCTATGCAAGAAAAAGCCCATTGCACTCAACAGCCAGCCCTCAAATTTATCTGCATACATTCCCAGCTCTTAGGGGGAACTTGCCTGTAATACCGGAGGGGGGGGGATTTACCAGCCCACCCCCGCCTCGTTGAAAGCCATTCAGGCTGTGGGTAAACGAGGGACTTGCAGCACCATGGACAGCGGCAGACTCGCCCAAGGACGGCCATTCTTAAGGGACCTCAAACTGTTGCTTCTCCTGGGGGGGCTCCATTAGCCCCTTCCCGGGGCAGACCTGCGATTCATAGAATCCTAGACTCACAGGGCTGGACGGGACCTTTGAGGTCTTCTAGTCCAGCCCCCTATCCAAGGCAAGGGACCGTATTGCCTCCCAGACCACTGGCTGTCCAATCTTGAAGGTCTCCAGTGATGGAGCACCACAACTCCAGGAGTCAACCTTTTCCACGGATTGATTGTTTTTATTGTCAGGAAATCCCTCCTTAGTTCCAGGTTGGATCCCTTTCTAACGAGCTCCCACGCACTGCTTCTTGCCTGGCCCTTCTGAGCCAAGAACGGCAGCCCCCCTCCAACTGAACTCTGTTCATCTCAAACACCCCCTCGCCACTCTTACCTTTGCCCTCTCCCCACGGGCAACGTCTCCCTCCCGGCCGTGGCTCTGCCTCTCATCTCCCAGGCGGCCTGGCTCCATCTCTTTCGCCTCAAACTCTTCCGACCACAAGGAAGGAGAGACTTAGATGGCATCCAGCTGCCGTCTCATGCTGACGTCCTGGTTGCCATGGAGCCGAGGGATTGTTGAAGAGGGCGGTTTTCTTTAGCCCCCGTCACCCTGCCCCCCCATAATCATCGTTAGAGGAAAGGAGGGAGGGGGGAAGCAGGAATGGCATTTCTCCAGATCCAGGAAAACAACAGGCTTCTAGGTTAAACTCTTAATTGTTTGCTAATACCTTGCCTCCACCTAGAATAGGGGTGGGGAACCTTGGCTCTTTTATGACTCATGGACTTCAACTCCCAGAATTCCTGTGCTAGCATGGGGGAACTATGGCCCCCTCATGACTGGTGGACTTCAACTCCCAGAATTCCTGTGCCAGCATGGGGGAACTATGGCCCCCTCATGACTGGTGGACTTCAACTCCTAGAACTCCTGAGCCAGCATGGGGGAACTATGGCCCCTTCATGACTCGTGGACTTCAACTCCCAGAATTGCTCAGCCAGCATGGGGGAAACTATGGCCCCTTCATGACTGGTGGACTTCAACTCCCAGAATTCCTGAGCCAGCATGGGGGAACTATGGCCCCCTCATGACTGGTGGACTTCAACTCCCAGAATTCCTGTGCCAGCATGGGGGAACTATGGCCCCCTCATGACTGGTGGACTTCAACTCCCAGAATTCCTGAGCCAGCATGGGGGAACTATGGCCCCTTCATGACTCGTGGACTTCAACTCCCAGAATTGCTCAGCCAGCATGGGGGACTATGGCTCCTTCATGACTGGTGGACTTCAACTCCCAGAATTCCTGAGCCAGCTGTGCTGAGGGGAAAGGGAGAGGTTTCCAAGCTGAGCCATGCTGGCTCAGGAATTCTGGGAGTTGAAGTCCATGAGTCATAAAGAGGCCTAGGCCTAGGCCAGGGGTAGGCAACCTTGGCTCTTTTATGACTGATGGATGTCAATTCCCAGAATTCCTGAGCCAGCCATGGTGAGGGGAAAGGGAGAGTTTCCTAGCTGAGCCAGGCTGGCTCAGGAATTCTGGGAGTTGAAGTCCACCAGTCCTAAAAGAGCCAAGGTTGCCTACCCCTGGCCTAGAATGTCAGTCTGTGCTTGGTTCAGCCTCTCCCTGTCTGCTCCATCCCCACTAACCTCATCTTTAAGGGATGGGGGCCTTTTTAGAACTCCTCTATGGCTTCCCGGTTACCGAGAGCAAATATTTGGCTGACATTTGGGGGTATATTCCCCTTCCCTGGTCGTGAGAGGCCTCCCTTTATGACAGGTAATAGCTGAACATCCCCAGCAATCAGGTCAACGGGTAAGCTTTTAGGAGCAGCCCACGGACTGGTTTCCACCTCTGTTTAACCAGCATGAGGGGTTTGGAAATAGGAGGAGGCCTTTCTGCCCAGGTTCAAACCTGGTTAAGTGTTTCCTCAGAGGCACACTCCGTGTCAAAATGCTGTTACTTGGGATAATGCATTAAATATAAAAATGATGGCAAGGGTCCCACACGTTGAATTAACAAATAAAGTATACCCCATTCCATTTCGTTCATCAGAAAGGGTTATCCTTCCCCAAACCTGATGAAAGAAATGGAATGGGGTATACATCATTTCTATTATTACAATTATTATTATTATTATGGATCATCGCACAGTCAGCCAGATGTTCAAACTGGATTTGGCATTTTGTCTACCTATCGAGTCCTTACCCAGGACCTGGGATAGGCAGATGTGGATGTTTGATGGTATTACAGATATCGTCGCAGGATGGAAGCAGTTCCTAATAAGGCTGCCTTTTGCAATTGACTAATAGCGAATTTGTCAATGCCAATGGTGTTCAAGTGGTGCTCCAGTTGTTTTGGGATTGCACCCAAGGAGCCTATGACTATTGGTACTACCCTTGCTTGCTTTTGCCACAGTCTTTCTATTTCTATTTGTAGGTCTTTGTATTTTGTTATCTTCTCCAGTTGTTTCTCGTCTATTCTGCTGTCTCTAGGTACTGCCATGTCACTATCCAGACTTTTTTGTCTTTCTTATCGACAATTGTTAAGTCTGGGGTGTTACGTTGCAGGTGCTTGTCTGTTTGAATTCTGAAGTCCCAGAGCAGTTTAATTTTATCATTATTATTATATTATATTTATTATAGTTATTATTATTATTATTATTATTATTATTATTATTATTATTATTATTATTATTATTATTATTGGTCATCGCACAGTCAGCCAGATGTTCAGACTGGATTTGGCATTTTTGTCTACCTATTGAGTCCTTCCCAAGGACCTGGGATAGGCAGATGTGGATGTTTGATAATATTAAAGATATCGTCGCAGGATGTTGTTGTTATTATTATTATTATTTCACTTGCCTTGCTTTGCCCTATAGTTTCCCATCATCTCTTTTTTTGGGGGGGGGGCATCTCAGATTGTGCTTTGAGGATTGAATTTCTTAAGAGGGTATATAATTGGTCAAGATTTTCAGGTGTCCTGTTTTTTCAGGCAAATCTGAGAAGCAGAATGTTTTCAAGGAAAAAAACACAAGGAAGTCCATCCATGCCTTTTGGAAAAGCACCTCCCAGACTCCCATCTACAAAAGAGGCCTGTGGTGGGATATCCATTCTGATGATCTCCCATCCTTCTGATTTGGCCTCTGATAATCAGGAACTTGCCAATAAATGCCAAGGAAAGGAGGAGGAGGAGGAAGAGAAAGAGAAAGAAGAAGTAGAATCAGAAGAAGAAACAAAAGTGGCAAAAAAAAAAAAATGATGGAAAAGTCAGCATTGTACAGTTATCTGTGGATCCACCAGGTGAAGCTGCAGGACTGTTCATTAACTCCAAAGGAAGACTGGAGCTCAGTTACGTTGGTTGGCTTACAGGAAATCCTTTTTTTTTTTTTTTTTTTACTTTCTACGTACAGGATATTTTGTTCCTCGAATTTTGTTTCTCCTTTTCTTTAGACTAGCCAAACCCAAGTCCCGCAGCCGTTCTCCGTACATTTTAGCCTCCAGGAAAGATACAGTTATTTTGTTTGTCATCCTATAAGGAACAAGCAGGACGTTGCAGGAGAGAGGCCCTGCTCAAAAAACAAGATAACGGCCATGGGCACAGAAAGACACCCCTCTTATTAAATGAGTCAGAGAACACTATATAATGTTGTGATTCAATGGCAAAGTGCAACTTTCTGCCCTGCGTTTGTGCAAACGGGCGTGCATGAAATGGGGAATACGTGAAACCCACTCTGGGCAAGCCACAGTGGCATTTGCGGGGTGTCTGTGTGTGTGTGTCAAAGAGGCAAATGGCAGATGCACGTGTGCAATTTAAGCCCTTCCTCTTTATACGTGTGTGCACGGCACTCAGGTACAAAAGGGGTAGAGATTTAATTGTGCTGCCTTTTTAAACTCCCAAACCACCACCCGACGGCCAGGAAGATTTGCTCCAAAAGATTTCAGCTTAGGCAACTGTGTTGAAAATAAAGAGTGTAAAATAGACAAAAGATGGCTCCTCAGACAACCCCATGGTCCTTTGTGAACAGGATGAAGTGATGGAAAAAGGTGTGGAGACAGGGGGAAAAGGGGTTCAACTCTGACTAGCCAAGTTTGAATAGACTAATTAAGCTTTGTGCAGGCAATGCTCAAGTCACAACCATTTGTTTAGTGTCTGCTCAAAGTGACAACAAAAAATCCCACTACACCATTATTCAACTGTCTGGAGATACTTAATTATAGTTTTTAACTATTTACATGTCTGGCTAAAAGAGGAAGCCAGACTACAGAGCGATGGGGTTAGAAGGCACCTTGAAGGCCGTCTAGTCCAACTTTCCTGGCGATTGGCCCTACTTATTAGGAATGTAACCCTCTAATGGCAGAAAGTGAAGAGGAACTAAAGAGCCTCTTGATGCGGGTGAAGAAGGAGAGTGCAAAAGTAGGCTTGAAACTCAACATTAAGAAAACCAAAATCATGGCATCCGGCCCTCTCAATTCCTGGCAAATAGATGGGGAAGAAATGGAGGTAGTGACAGATTTTATTTTTCTGGGCTCCAAGATCACCTCAGATGGGGACTGCAGCCAAGAAATTAAAAGACGCTTGCTCCTGGGGAGGAAAGCTATGGCAAATCTAGACAGCATACTAAAAAGCAGAGACATCACCCTGCCAACAAAAGTGCGTATAGTCCAGGCCATGGTTTTCCCAGTTGCAATGTATGGCTGTGAAAGTTGGACCATAAGAAAGGCTGAGCGCAAAAGAATTGAGGCCTTTGAATTATGGTGCTGGAGAAGACTCCTGCGAGTCCCTTGGACTGCAAGGCGTTCAAACCGGTCAGTCCTAGAAGAGATCAACCCCGACTGCTCTTTAGAAGGCCAGATCCTGAAGTTGAAACTCAAGGACTTTGGCCACCTAATGAGAAGGAAGGATTCACTGGAGAAGAGCCTAATGCTGGGAAAGATTGAGGGCAATAGAAGAAGGGGACGACAGAGAATGAGATGGCTGGATGGAGTCACTGAAGCAGTAGGTGTGAACTTAAATGGACTCCAGAAGATGGTAGAAGACAGGAAGACCTGGAGGAAAGTTGTCCATGGGGTCGCAATGGGTCGGACACGACTTCACAATTAACAACAACAACAACAACCCTTGGGGATGACACTGAGACGATGGAAATTCATCTCTACCTTCCAGTAGAGAGAACGTCCCTGAGGATGTGGGCTCCACACAAGTCTAAAAGCTTAGAAGACTATGCTTCTAGTCCTCGTGACTGACCCAGATTGGATCCTGCAACATGATCCTGGGACGGCGTCCTCAACCTTGGCAACTTTAAGACTTGTGGACCAACTCCCAGAATTCCCCAGCCAGTAAATCACATGACCATTGGGGATGCTACAGGGGTCATAAGTACGAAAAAGGGTCCTAGGTCACTTTTTTTCAGTTCTGTTGTAACTTCAAACGTCACTAAGTGAACTCTTGTAAGTCGAAGGAGTAACGACGTAATTGGATTTAATCCAGAGTTTTTACCTTGCTGGAAGTGAAGCAACTGGTTTGGTTGTGTGTTATCTATCCTTTCATGCTGCTGTTTCTGCACGTGGCTGATGCGTATCAGAACAGGTGAGATTTATTGCTGTGCCAGCTCAGAAGCCTAACAATCATTAATCTTGCCCAACACCATGAAGAATCATTGATGCCTTGGGCTGGTCAGGGACAAAGGCAGAACACGCTGCTCAGTGATGTCACACCAAGAGAGCAAGGAAGTATTGTCATCTTAGTACGGTTAGAGACATTTATGTTGCCAGCAGGAGACTGATTGCTATTCCAGAGAAAATCTTGACAAATATGCCTGATGCTTCAGGTTTGGGGCCATCATTATGTTTAGGTAGGAATTTCTACCCTCTCTTCCATGGAGAAGAACTAATTCTTTTTAGTTATATAACAGAATAACAGAGTTGGAAGGGACCTTGGAGGTCATCTAGTCCAACCCCCTGCTCAGGCAGGAAACCCTATACCAGGGGTAGGCAACCTTGGCTCTTTTATGACTCATGGATTTCAACTCCCAGAATTCTGGGAGTTGAAGTCCACGAGTCATAAAAGAGCCAAGGTTGCCTACCCCTGCCCTATACCATTTCGGACAAATGGCTGTCCAGTCTCTTCTTAAAAACTTCCAGTGTTGGAGCATTCACCGCTTCTGGAGGCAGGTTGTTCCACTGGTTCTAATTCTCAGGAAATTTCTCCTTTATCTTTATCTTCCCTTTCCTAGTATGATGAGAATTGGAGAAAACACCATATCCTTTCCCCTAAAATCCATCACTTTATAATCCTCTATGTCAATGTTTTCCAATGTCAGCAACTTTGAGGTGTGTGGACCTAGCTCCCAGAATTCCCCATGGAGCATCCTTTAAGAAGCACGAACTTCAACTTCCAGAATTTCTCAGGTAGCATGCTGGGAACTGAAATCCACAGGGACTGAGGTTGAGAAACACTGCTCTAAGTTATGTAATACTTATTTGATCTTTTATAGTTGTTTCATTATATTATAAGACATAACACACTATTTAGATAAAGTTACGTTTGTACTGTGTTCTCTAGCAATTATTAACACACTGATATTTAGACAACTTAAACCTTTTAAAGAAAAAGAGGCTAAATATTAGTCCTTACTTAATGACTGCTCACTTATTAACCATTCAAAGTTACCACGGACCCCCCAAAGGTATTTACGACCTGGATCTGGAGTTACGATGGCAGCCCATGTGGTCCTGTGACTGCATTTGGAGCACTTGGCAACTGGCTCAACTTTACAACCAGTTGCAATATTCTGTGGTCATGTGATGAAATTTAAAATGTGGGGTTTTTTTTGCAGGAAACGCCCCAGCAAGAATTTACGTCCCACCATTGATTTACTTAATGCCCACTACAAAAACGGTTATAAAATCAGGTCGGCCACATATTTGTCTCGACGTAAGACTTTCTGACTTAAATTCTGGGCTCCATTACTGTCATAAGTTGAGAACTATCTGTATGTCAGCGTTGACTGTGATCTGGAAATATCAATATTAACAAGCATAAGGTTGTTTCTATTTTACATCCAAAACTAAATACAGCATTGATAAACAACTGTAAATTATATCAAAATATTTGATATACAGTATAAGTTTTTGTCTTAGGCTGAAAATTTAATACTACGGTCTCTTTTTGTGGCTGATTGTTGTTTGCACATGTGAAAGAGAAAAAAAAAGAAAAAGAAGAAAAAAAGATTAAAAAAATAAATTAAAAAAGACTATTTGCTTTTTAACTTTCTCCTTTTTGTGCCTCTACTAATTTCTGATTTTTATAAACATTTGGGCCCCCTTAGAAATTAATTATTATTTGCACTGCATAATGAATTGTATGCAGAGGAACCATTCTTCCTTAAATGATTTGTTATTTTCTTATAATACTTTCCTTCTCCTCGTTTATTTGTTATTTTCTTCTTCTACTTATTTTCTGATTTAGAAAGTTTAAATACCGTTTCCTTTGCTAGGAGAACATTCCTCTCCTCTCCCTTGTTCCTTCTCTGCAACTTCCTGCTTGAAATGAGATGTCACTACTGATTAACATTTTAAAAAAGGGATTTGTTTTAAAATCTGCACTCCAAAATTGGAAGCCAACACGGATAATTATGAACAGATTAACTTAATCTAGAGCTGGGGCAGAAGCTTGTTTTTTTCCATTTGAAAACTTTTTATACTGTGGACATAGCTTCTGATTTTTCTGGAGCGCTGGATCAGGGCAAAAAGGCTTCACCGTTCGTATAAAAGGCAAGTCTGCCCTCAGATCAGAGGGTCTTATGCAATCGAACCATCCTTGGTTGCCCAGTCCAGTTTGAGGGATCCTGCAGAGAAATCCTTAGTGGTATCATCCGTTTGAACAGAGCATTGCTGGATCTCCCCTTCTGATCAGGGACATTGCAATGTTTTATCTAGCTGGCTTATCAGCATTATGTAGAAAGGAGAGGTTAATCTTTTAGCCATCTGATTCAAGCTTTGAAAATCTATTCCTTTTCTTTCTCCTTCCCTTCCCTTCCTTTCCTCTTTCCTTTCCTCCCTTCCCTTCCCCTTCCTTTCCTTTCCTTCCCTTTCCCTTCCCTTCCCCTTCCTTTCCTCCCTTCCCTTCCCTTCTCCTTCCTTCCCTTCCCCTTCCTTTCCTTCCCCTTCCTTTCCTTTCTTTCCCTTTCCTTTCCTCCCTTCCCCTTCCTTTCCTTTCTTTCCCTTCCCCTTCCTTTCCTCTTTCCCTTTCCTTTCCTCCCTTCCCCTCCCCTTCCTTCCCTTCCCCTTCCTTTCCCTTTCCTTTCCTCCCTTCCCTTCCCCTTCCTTCCCCTTTCCTTTCCTTCCCCTTCCTTCCCCTTTCCTTTCCTTCCCCTTCCTTTCCTTTTTCTTCCCTTCCCCTTCCTTTCTTTTCCTTCCCCTTCCTTTCCTCTTTCCCTTTCCTTTCCTCCCTTCCCCTCCCCTTCCTTCCCTTCCCCTTCCTTTCCTTCCTTTCCCTTTCTCCCTTCCCTTCCCCTTCCTTCCCCTTCCTTCCCCTTCCTTCCCCTTCCTTTCCTTTCTTTTTCTTCCCTTCCCCTTCCCTTCCTTTCCTTCCCCTTCCTTTCCTTTCTTTCCCTTCCCCTTCCTTTCCTCTTTCCCTTTCCTTTCCTCCCTTCCCCTTCCTTCCCTTCCCCTTCCTTTCCTCCCTTCCCTTCCCTTTCCTTCCCCTTCCTTTCCTTTCCTTTCCTTCTTTCCTCTAATTTCCCTTGTCTCTTGTAGCTACAATTCCAAGACAAGTCTCATCATTCCTGCTGTGACCAACATTTGAAATTTGTGTGAGGCCACAGACAAAAGATTAGGAAGACAAGCAGCATCCTGGGAAGCCGTGTTATTTTGCAGAAATCTAATTCTGGTAAATTCCTGGCGGAGAAGGTGTGGAATTTCATATTTTGTGAGGGACATATGAACAGGGCAGCCAATTCTGAAGCCAATTCCCCCTCATCTCTCTGCCACATCTACAGACAAAACAATCCGTTGGCATCCATCCCTGCGGATGTCTGAAGCTTTTGCCAGGAGATTTGAACACCTGCCAGGAACTTGGGTGGAGTCAGAAATGAGTAGGTCATCTGGGGTTACAAATGTTTACAATTGCCAAGCCTACTCGCTAGATCTTTCAGTGAGCTGACCTACGGAAGAGTGTTTAATTCATAACCCCCATCAGAAAGCAAGTGGAAAGCATTAAACAAATATCCCAAGCAACGGCCTGTCGTATTTAAATCTAAAATTAAACATGTGGAATAGCTTACGCTGAAAAACCCATCGGTTGAGGTTCACAGTTTAAAAAGGGATGGCTTTGCAACCCATCTGGATGGTATGGTCACTGTAGGTCACCTGGATCTGTAGCTGGGATATGGGATTGAAACTATTTTGATCACCTGAGTGAAGACCTACAATCAGGAGGAAGTTTTTTTTGTTGGTTTACCTCTAGTTGAGACTGCCGAGGGCTAGACCAGGGCTCTTCAAACTTGGCCCTTTTATGGCTTGTGGATTTCAACTCCCAGAATTCTTCAGCCACAAGCTGAAGTCCACAAGTCTTAAAGTTGTCAGGGTTGTAGATCCCTGGACTAGAGCAACTAGAGCTGAATAAGTTCAAAGTTTCTGGCTGTTTGTTGACATCTAGCGTTCGCCCAAATTTTTGTAGAAGAATGTCTGAAGCCTCAAGATTCAGTCTTCCATGCACATTATACATCAAGTAGCCCAAAGGGGGACATATTATATCAGGGGTCTTCAAACTTGGCCCTTGTATGACTTGTGGACTTCAGTTCCCAGAATTCCTCAGCCAGCATGGCTGGCTGAGGAATTCTGGGAGCTGAAGTCCACAAGTCTTAAAAGGGCCAAGTTTGAAGACCCCTATAATATATTGTACCATCACGATCTTCTTCCAAAACCAGTGATTTCATGACAAAATGTAAAGCAGAATATACAATGCAGGATTTACACTTTAATCTGAGGGACATCTGACGGTTTTCCCGAATGCCACTGAATAAAGCCAATTCATAATTAATATCAATTTAGCAAAATATGGCCAGGCTTGTGTTATTCCACCTTTGCCTGCTTTTAAGCCCAGCTTCACCAAATCTAAAGCACACAATACATGCATATGATTAAAAACATATTCTCCAGGAATATTTAAACAACCATCTACTGCAATCAAGACATATTGGTGTGGAAAGAAATCAGCTCCAAATGACAGAGGACTTCCGAAAGCAGGCTACAAAACATTTTCCTAGGGTTTTCCAGCTGCAAGATACATCTGCAGCATTTTGTATTTAAAAAGAAATAAATCAAGGTGGGCTAGCCATTGTGTGATCAAACCCCACCCCTTTTTTTGCGTGTCAGGCACCTGTACTAAGTGGTAAAAGAGGTAACATCTGAATGGAAACTGCAGGGGCTGATTGTGCTCCTATAATAGTTGAATGCAAATCAAGAAAGGGATGTGCTGACTCCGTTTTTAAAACTTAAATTCACTAAGTTGGTAAAACGTTTCTGCTTTTCACACCGAGATGAAACCTTAATATATTAAACAATTAAAAAATACAACATGGAAAGTGGTAGAATGCTGCTCACCATTTGGGCATGTGCAGTATTTTAAACATTTCTGACAGTGTTACGCTAAGCAAGGATTGTTGCTGCAATCCTCCTTTTTCATATTTGACGATCAGTTTTTTTTTTAAAAAAAAAAGTTTCCTGAGCTATTCAGTTTATTTGGATGGACTGCCGTTTCATAAGAGTTGTTTTGTTGTTCTTTTAATAACTGTTCCCATTTTCATTGTTCTTCTCTGCGAAGCTACAAAGTGTTAGTTCTAGGTATATATCATTCTGAGGTGTTGTATAAGCTTGGAAGTTCTTTTAGGGAAAAAAAAAAAAAAGAAGAAATCTGGGAAGCGATCCACCCCATGATGCTCCAGTTTAGAAGCTCAATTTCTTTACTGGTGTTTGCATATCTGTTTTGATCTGCTTCTTCGTTGTATAATAATCTGCAAAAAAATAAAAAAAATAAATCCAAACCAACAAGTAATAACAAGACGTGATACATGGACGTGATACATTTCTCCAGAGTGAGCAGAGTGGAAATCTTACGAAAAAGGAGATGGTAGATTTTTGGAAGGGGGAAAAGCCAAGAGGTACATTGTCCTATTTCTGGAACACCCCCCCCTCCCATAAAACCAACTCCCAGTTACATTCCTGCATTAAAAAAAATAAACAACTAAGAAACAACAAAAAAGAAACAACTAAGGGGTCTGCAGTCAAGATGGCAGTTGCGATGGCACAATTAATACCAGTCCTGCACATGTATCACACAGGTGTATAAAAAGGGACATAAAACAAGTTTTTTTTTTTAAAAAAATGGTTGCCAGTAAAAAAAAGAGTGGAACATTCGGTGTGCATGCAGTCTCCCCATCCTGATTTTTTTGACTTTCCCACGGTCACCTGTTGTTTACACTGTGTATGTTTTCTTTCATAAAACATCCAGGGAGCACACCTGCCTTTTGCTAGCCAGCTTTTATCTGGGCAACTGAACAACATCAGCTGAATTTCTTTTGAAATCATACTCAAAGATTATTGAAGGGAAAGATCCTAAACCGGGGGGGTCTTCAAACTTGGCCCTTTTATGATTTGTGGACTTCAACTCCCGGAATTCCTCAGCCAAGTAAAATGGGTCCAAGCCCACTTAACAACCCTCTCGCTTACCAACATAAATGTTGAGGACTACTCGTATTTGGGGTGTTCTTTTTTTTTTTAAAGTGCTTTTGTAAAATTTGACCTTGACTTGGATAATGGTTATCAGATAAAATGGCGTCCCTCTGTTTAAATAATTAGGATGCTATATCAGAGTGATCAGCCAGGATCACCTATTTGGTGGGTTTTTCAGTGGGGTGATCATTGTGTGCTCCAAAACCCGAAAGAAGCACTAGGCTGGAGCAAGGAGGTCAAGAAAACCCAACCTCTTTGCTGTTATTGCGATGATCTGGACTAGGGTTTCCTGCCTGAGCAGGGGGTTGGACTAGATGACCTCCAAGGTCCCTTCCAACATTATTATTGTTGTTGTTGTTGTTAATTCACCTCTCTATGCAGAGTCAGGAACAGGATCTGCCCCAGGGACCTCACTGTGGACGGGCGTTGAGATCTTAATTCTCAGAGTCCCTTTTTAAAGCTTGGATACGTTTCTTTCCGGCTATTCTAGCGGATCCCTGCCACTTTCAACTTTTGAGCACGCCTGACCGTGTCCTCGTTTTGCTTTCCCTTCGCCCTGTGGAACTGCAGCCTGAATCTGAAGCGTCTGGGCTGAAAAACCTCGACATACCTGTCAAATGTGTCTGCCTTCGCTTCTTCGCTCCCGTGGCTGTTTTGATCGACCTGAATCTTTCTGTCTCTCTGTCCAGGGGGTGAACTGGCCCTTCTCTGTCCACAGTCCTGTTCACGGGCTGCAGAGGCGGGCGAGGCTCCCTGGCCACGTGCGTGTGGTAGAAGGCAGGAACCTCGTGGCCCTGCAGCTCTTCCCACTGGAGAAGGCCCACGACGGGCACGTCCTGGAAGAAGTCAAAGTTCCACCGTTGCTTCGCCTGTTCCATGCTGGATCTCATCAGGCTCTGGAACTCCTGCTGCAAATGTTCGTGGTCCACCGGTCCGAAAAGGTTCCTCCTGATGGGGGCTGCTTTTGCCAAAACCAGATCCATCTCCTGTCCCTGCTGCCTCAAACACCAAGGACCTGTTGAGAACAAATGGACAAAACACGGATTGGTTCCTTTGATTCTCAAAGGGGAAAATTAAAGACCGAGGCTTTGTCTCTGACGTATTCCCCTCCTGGCAATAAGGACAATATCTTAAGAGTAGCATTCCCCCCCCCCCAACCTTTTGGGCACCAGGGACCGGTTCCTTGGAGAGAAGTTTTTCCACTGACCGGAGGGTGCGTGGTTTTGTGTGCTGCCGGCCTCCCACAGATGGGGCTTTGCTTGTTTGCACAGACTGGTTGCTGGTATGCTGCAGACCGGTGTGGTCCATAGAGTGGGGGTTGGGGACCCCTGCCTTGGAGCAGTGTTTTTTTCAATCTGCTGGCTGGGCGATTTTGGGAATTGAAGTCCGTACTTCTCAAAGTTGTCAAATATTGCCTTAGAGTTCCAGGGGTTCTCAACCTTGGCCACTTTAAGACTTGTGGACTTCAACTCCCAGAATTCCTCAGCCAGCTTTGCTGGCTGAGGAATTCTGGGAGTTGAAGTCCACAAGTCTTAAAGTGGCCAAGGTTGAGAACCCCTGCAGGCTTAGACTTAGGATTCCATTTGATTCCTTTTCTTTCTTTCCTTCCTTTCTTCCCTCCCTCCTTTCTTCCCTTTCCTTCCTTCACCTTCTAATATTCCTTTTTTCTTTCCTCCCTCCCTTCCCCTCCTCTCTTCTTCTCCTTCCATTTACGTTCTCGCCTTCCTTCCTTCCATCCATCCATTCACCCATCCAACACAGCTCCAATCACACTGCCACAGCCACGATGTCCACATTTTGCCCATTATGTCCACAGCCTTCTTTTTTTGTAAGGCTGAACCTTCCAGGCGCCTTCATGTCCGTCCCCTGGTCATCCAGGCCGTGCTTCCCTGGCTTGGGGCAGGCCAACCTGCCTGACCCTGGTCCCGGGGACTACAGATGTTGGGAAACATCTGGAGAGCCTGGGAGCCCGGTCCCTGCTCAGCACGGAGCCAAATCCAAGCCGGCCACGAAGCCCCGTGAAGCCCCCCCTTCCCTTCCAGGAGAGCCCAGCCCCCCCCCCACAGATCTCCCCCCCCCCAGTTCCTGTGCGATTCCAACCTGGCTCTTGCTGTCCTGATCCACCCTGGGATCTCTACAGCCGAAAACGGGTCTGGTTGAATCCGCTGGTCTGTGCAGTCCAGCCCTCCCGGCTTCCCAGTCCAGGCTCCCTCGGGCATCTCCCGGTGGCCTCCCATCCAAGGACCAAAGGGGTCCCCAGAAGCAGGGAAGCCCAGCCGGGCCACTGGAGGCGCTTCCAGCGGCACCGGGGCCGAGGCGAAGCTCCGCGCGGCCGGGGCTGCGCAGGAGAAGCGGCGGCGCTGGCGAGGCCGGGCGCGGCAGTTGCCCCAGCGGGCAAATCCTCTCCTTGGCGGGTCCCGCGGCGGGAAGCTCCGCGTCCTCTGGAAGCCCCGGCGGGGGGGGGGGAAGGGAAGCGCTGCAGGGCCGCCCAAGCGCGCAGCTCCGCGCCCGCCCGCCAAAGCCGCCCTGCCCGCGGGAAGCAGGAGCGCAGCGCCCGGCGTGGGAGGGCGGAGGGGCCGGGGGTTCTGGAGGAAAGCAGCGGGGAGGGGGGATCCGGAGGAGGGGGGGCAAAGGGGGGCCCGGCGCTTCCCGGCGAGTCGAGCTCCTTGGCAATCCCTGGCACCCCTTGCTGGCAGCGGGAGCCACAGGATCAAGGAGGCTTGCCGGGGCCTTTTGCAACGTGCCACTCCTGGTGGTCTCCCATCCCTCTGGGGCAGGGCTGAGTCTTACAGGGAAGGCCAGGCCTGGGGAGAGCCTCCAGTCTTCAGCAAGGGAGGCTGCCTCTCACAGACGGTTCCAACGAGATCCCCCAGAAACCAACACACACACACACACACACACACACACACACACACACCCTTTGTGACTTGTATGCTGCCTTCACCCGAACACGCTAGGGCCTTTAATTACCCAAAGCAGCCACGTCCTTCCTACCTTCTCGGCTTTAAGAATTCAACTCTCAGAATTCCCCAGCCAGCATGGCTGATTGGAGAAAATCTGGGAGTTGAAGTTCATAAATTGACAAGGTTGCACCCCCCCCCAACCACCATAAAGTGTGGCATAAGAAGCAGGGCACATCTAGGTGGGCTTGAGATTTCTAGGGATTGGCCCATTAAAACCAGTTAAGGAGCTCCACCAGTTTGACAAGGAGTCACCACCATCAAGGATCTAACGCAGGGGTAGGCAACCTTGGCTCTTTTATGACTCGTGGAATTCTGGGAGTTGAAATCCACGAGTCATAAAAGAGCCAAGGTTGCCTACCCCTGATCTAACGAATGGCGACACCACCAGTGCACAAAACAGTTGTCTGTTCTATTTTGGTGCCCAAAAGGCATCAATCAGATCTACAATTGTTGCAGGTTAAATCAGGGGTAGGCAACCTTGGCTCATTTATGACACAGCTGGCTCAGGAATTCTGGGAGTTGAAGTCCACCAATCATAAATGAGCCAAAGTTGCCTACCCCTGTGCTCAATGAACAGCGCTGGATCCTTCTCAGATAGATTCACAGGTCTTTTTTGGCTATAAGTGACATCAAAGGCCCCAGAATTCGTCAAGGATAAGTGGGTGCAATATTTAAGCAGGAGTATCTCAACCTCAGCAACTCTAACGGGCGGACATGCTGGCTAGGGAATTCTGGGAGCTGAAGTCCACACATCTTAGAGGTGCCCAGGTTGGAAAATGTGACCTCAGCAGCCTGTGCCATGCTGCATTTCTCTCAGTGTCCAAATCTGATCGTGCAAAAAAACAAAAACAGAACAGCCCAGCATATGCATCTCCTAGTTAACCATATTGTCCCAGAACTAGAAAGTCTCACATTTCTATTCCAACTTTTTCTGGATAAAATCCACCCAGCTGGACATCTCCTTCCCACCTATCCACCTGACCAATTCACTCTTTGTGGGCTACTTTGATGAAACTCAAGTTTCCGAGGCACCATGTGCTTCTTCTCACGTGTTCCTAGCCAAGGCGTGAACTAACCTGGCTGGCTGGGGGTAGTGGCTAGGCTAGCCCAGAGTTTGGGACCTTGGCATTCAGTGGGTCCAGCAAACGTGTTTGCAGGGATTATGCACTGAAGGAAGTATGTTGTGGAAGAAATATGTTGCCTTTTTCCATCTTCGGCGTTGAGCTTGTGGGTGGTGTTCTACAGCAGGGAAGCCCTGCCGGATCTAGCAAGATGCTGTTCCCCTCCTTTTGTTGCTTTGGGGTTGCCATGACAACAAGCATAGGAGTAATCCTTGAGTAGCTGAAACTGCTGCCTGCCACTTTCTCCTGCGCTACAGAAGAAGCTCCCACGAGCAGGTCAATTGCCTGACTCCTAAGAGTAATAAACCTTGAATGAAATCTTTTTCGTTCAATGAGGTGGTGCCAGGCACAATTCTGTCACTAGGTCAAAATCTTCCTTCCTTCCTTCCTTCCTTCCTTCCTTCCTTCCTTCCTTCCTTCCTTCCTTCCTTCCTTCCTTCCTTCCTTCCTTCCTTCCTTCCCATTCCCTTCAGGTCAAAATCTTCCTTCCTTCCTTCCTTCCTTCCTTCCTTCCTTCCTTCCTTCCTTCCTTCCTTCCTTCCTTCCTTCCTTCCTTCCTTCCTTCCTTCCTTCCTTGCTTCCCACTCCCTTCAGGTCAAAATTGTCCAGGCAAGGCTGCCCAGCCTAGAACAACACCTTCAGCTCAGTGGTGGGATTCAAATAGGTGAACAACCGGTTCTCTGTGTGGATGCCGCTTCTGGAAGTCCGTTCTGGGCCTGGGCAACCAAAACATGAGCTACGGGTTCGCAGAGCTGCTGAATCCCACCCGTGCTTCCACTGCTTCTTCTCCCTTGCGTGGAACCTCATGCTAACCATGAAGTGGTGGAATCACCTGGAAAGGCCCTGAACAGGTCATCCCAGGCACCGATAGGTCAATCTGGGTTTCCTATCTTGGAAGCACACCTCTTCCCTAGAAAACCCCCATGGGTGAAGCAGCTGCATTGACAGGAAATCCCCAGGTGAGGATAATCCAAGCGTGAAAATCCAGGGAAAAGGAAGTTTATGCAATCGGGTCCATTTTCGTCTCTGGGTTGTTTTATTTGGAAAAGGAGCTGAGCCTTTTCCACACCCCTCTCTGTGGGAGTTTTAAACCACTGCTCCGAAAGTGGAGTTGGTTTGATCTTTGGATCTAGCCCCAGGAAGGGTCCTACCCTTGAATTGCCCGCTTTCCGGGGAGGCTGTGAGAAGCCACAACGACCTCATCTTGATGTCATGATGTGCAGGTCTCCACTTGTCTCTCCTGGCTCCCTTCTCCTGAAGTGCAGCTGCCTGCAGAAGACTTACTTGGGCTCCTCCAAAGAGCCTTCTCCAAAAGGGCCCTCCACGTCTCTTGGCTTTCCACTCCTACAATCCCCAGTTGCTAACTCCACCGCCTGGGAAGCAAGATCCAGATGGCAAGGAATCACTCAGACATGCTAAGCTGCCCTTCTCAAAGAGGAGACTATGTGGTCTCACCAACCTCAACTGACCTTGAAAAGGCTAAGCAGAGTCAAGCATGGTTAGTCCTTGTAGGACAGTGGTTCTCCACCTGTGGGTCGGGACCCCATTTGGGGTCGAACGACCATTTCATGGGGGTTGCCAAACAACGCAGTCCGCCATTTTTTTCCCCTTTTCCTTAGCTGTGCTCCTCCCTTTTATTCTATTGGCTTTTGAAAGCCGATAGAATAGACTCTCTTGAATAGAGTCTAGTTCTATTGGCTTTCAAAAGCCAATAGGAATTGTCCAGGCTGTCTCTGCCCTGCTGAGCCCGCCAAAAGTCCCCTTCTGCAAACGGTGCTGAACCAGTTGAGTAGTCCTCGACTTACGACCGGTTGAGTAGTCCTTGACTTACGACCGGTTGGGGGTCGCGGCATTAAAAAGGTTGAGAACCATTGTTGTAGGAGATGACCAAGGAATCTTGGATTGGGTAAATAGGTTGGAATATTTTTTAAACAACAACAACACTCAGAGGAAGATGGTGGCAAAAGAGAGAGAGAGAGAACGACACACACACACACACACACACACACACACACACACACACACACACACACACACGCAGACACGACACACGACACACCACATCAGATGTCCCTAGTGACAAAGCAGGTCCAGTGAAGGTTAGAAGACCTCTTTGCCCTGGCCATGATTAGAAGAATCTCTCTCTCTCTCTCTCTCTCTCTCACACACACACACACACACACAGACACACACACACACACCGTCCCCAGAGGCCACCCGGGGCCCCTAGAGCCGGCTTGCGACGGACCCGGCGCTGCCAGCCGTCGGGAGACCCCTGCCCGCCCTTCCCTCCAGCCGCAGGACCCCGCGAGAGGGGGCCGGGGTCTTACCTTGGAGCCTCGGTCACCGCCGCGGCCGTCCGGAGCGACGGGACCCGGAGCCGCTCCTTTGTGGCGCTGGGGATCCGCGCAGCAACGGCGCAGCAACGGCGCAGGGAAGCCCGGCCGCTTTCAAATTTGCCTCCCTCCCTCGCCCTCCCCTCCCCTCCGCCTCGCTCGGCTGCTCCCCCGCCCTCCTGCCCCTCCCCTCCCCCCAGCATGCCCCCCTCCCCCCCGCCTGGAGTTTGCAAAGCTGTTGCTTTGCTGCGCGCTTGATTAACTTTCTCATTCCGGGCTCCGGGCCAGGCCCCCGCCGGCACGCGGGCTTGCAACGTGACTGGTCCCCCCCCAATCTCCACCCTTTCTTCTCCCCCCCCCCGACTGGAAAACTTTTGCCAAATAAAGCAACGCAGGGAGCCAAAAGCGCACAGGGCCGCACTCGGGGGAGAGGGAGGGGCGCGGCGTGTGTGTGTGTGTGTGTGTGTGTGTGTGTGTGTGTGTGTGTGTGTATCTGTTGCGAAGCGTTGCACAAGCTGCGGGGGGTGAACCTAAACCAGATGAGGCGCGAAGATAGCAAGCTCGGAGTTGGGTTGGGAAACGTCCGGACCTGGGGCCGCTGCTGCTGCTGCTGTTGTTGTTGTTTTCGTTGCTGGTGTAAGTTGACATCACCGATCCTGAAGCAAGCAAACAAAACCAGCAGGCGAGAAGGGATTGGCAGCAGTTGGGATCAGGGCTGCTGATGCCCGGCATGAGGTTTTGATTGAAAAGTTTGGCTGTCAAAGAGAAAATAAAATAAAATAAAATAAAAAATAAATAAAAGAGAAAATTAAAAAAAATGAATTCTCCCTCAGAGCAAAAATAGCTAGATATTATAAAACTTGTTTGGGGCAAGTCGGCGTGATTGTCCGGTTGCTTGTCTCCAATCCAGTAGAAGCTCCGGTGACGTCA